TTTATGATAAAATACACAAAAATTGGAACTTTTCGATTGTTACTGTGTTTGCTGAAGACCAATCTCGATTGACCTACGACGAAGATGCCGTGTTGAAGTATTACATTGCACTGCCACTTTTTTTAAATGGCATCCCATCACAATTTATTTTGAATTTGGATGAGTCAGGGTATCAGCCATGGCCAGACAGGCAAATGGTGAAGGGAGTATTCACTGCTGGTTTTTCCACAGACAGTAAAATGAAATATGGAATCGAACGTGACATTGCTCAATCCACTGTCGTGTGCACTATAAACCCCTCACAACCTCTTCCTTGTATGATTGTAACAAAATACAAAAGAGTTGCAGTTGAATTCTTGAAATTGGGTTGGATGGAAACCGGAAACATCGTCAGTTAGAGCAAAAACGGTTTTATCAACAGTAACTTATTTATACAATACATCAACGACGTTGTAGTACCTTATATTGTGGACATGAAAATTAAGACTGGTTATATTGATAAGGCTGTGCTGATATTTGATCAGTGCACGTGCCACTCAATCGAAGATGTGAGGTTGCTGCTCAAGTCGAATGTCCAAGTCAATGAGAAAATCATCAACGTGAACTGTGAAATCGTATGTTTGGTGCCTCACACCTCACATTTAACACAACCATTAGATGTTGGGGTGTTTGCAGCCCAAAAAAGAAGACTGAATTCGTTGTATGCTAAGTTGAGAGAAGTCATAAAATTTAAAGATAGAGTTGGCGAGGAAGAAACAACAACGACAGAAAGTGAAGACGTTGAAGAAAAAGAAGAGTCAAATGATGTGATTGGAAACCAAGATCTAATTGAAGAACCAATAATACCTCAACAGTTTAAGGAAATGTTTCAGGAAGTGCTGGCAAATCCACAAGAAGCGATATCACCATTTAAAAAGAAGGCTGGTACGACTGTCAACGAAAGGATGGTGGATGACAACCAATCAGAAGATCACAACGAAATAACAAATGAAACTAAAAATGTTGAATTTGGTGATGGAGAGGACTTAGAAAAAAAGTTTGCCAAATACCTCAACTCAATTCTGAAGTCTTATTTCCAAACAACTATTCCGGATGTGTGCACGCAGGCTTTTAGGCAAGTTGGTATTGATTTCAGAATTGTTGATAGTGGTATGAGGGTTGCGTATGTGGATATTGGAGTGTCACGCGGAGTCACAGCATAAATACCGAGACTGTTAAGTATACCACAGTTATACTCGATTGAATGCGTCAAAACCAAAAGCTTGAAAATATCTGCAGTTCGAAAGCTTTCAATGTGTTTTGAGGGTTATTTTTGTCAGTCTGTTTGCAAGCCGTTAAAAAGAAAAGAACGGGATGTTGTATGTAAAGTTGTGAAGAAAAAGACGACCAAAAAAATCTCAAAAAGAACTAAAAATGGGGTTGAGAATTTAATCGATTGATTTTTATCTTTTTAATCAGTTGTATCGCCGAGTTTACATTACTGTTTTTTATTACGGGGTCAAAATGGTCACTGATTGGATCAATACACGTCTGAACTGTCATAAGTCCTTCGAACAGAAGAGATTCGTTTGTTAAACTTTCTTTCGTTATGAAGATAATAACTTGTAGAACTTGCTCATAAAGACTCTTGAATTCAAAGTTGCCTGCTTTGAATCGTCTAGTTGCTATGCCTGATGTGTTTAGTATTACTAGGATTCTTTGGCGTGAGGTCTGAGTCAGTTAGTTGATAAGCGCTGGCTGGCTGTTCACACTCTGAAAGCTGCTTTGTAGGTTTCCAAACAAATTGAAAGAGAAAATGAACTGTAAATAAGTGTTTTTTATTTGATCTTTTTGATTGTTTTGAAATAAAAAAAATAATAATTTTATTACATAAAAGTTACACAATTGCAACTTTTGTTGAATCCACAGGGTTTTCTCATTCTCACATACTATTCTCACATACTGTAGTTTATAAAAACCGCAATAAAAAGTATTTGAAAAAACAAACTATAATTTACTACAATAAAATGGTTAAATTATAATTAAGTAGAACAGCTTATAATAAAATATAGTTATAATATTAGAATCATATTTTGAAAACAAACAGCTTGTTGAAAGAAGAATACTCGAGTTAACAAGTCCTTTGAACACACTGTTAACAACATATTATCATTAATAATAAGGATAAAAGTTTATTTTACAAAAAAACAAGAAAAAAATGGTTTAACAATCCCTGATTTAAAATTTTTGTCGCTAAAAAATAGAGTAATTCACAAAAACAAGTTCACTTTATTCGGGAGCACCTTTGTTCAACGTTTTTTACAGTGTATTTTATTTTGTTTTTACAAAAAACAGAAAAAACAGATAAAATAAAAACAATTTTGTTTCTTGTTAAATTAATAGTTTTTAAATTATAATTATTGGTTTTATTAATTTACAACATTATTAACAGTTTGTATAATAATAATAATAATAATATAATAATTGTTCAAAAAATTAAACGATTGGTTTTAATTATCAAATATGAAACCCAACTCTGTTTCTTTCATCATTGTAATTTCTTCTTTGTTTTCATTGTTTTCTTTATCTCCAATAAGTTTCAATAAACTCTCTCTTGATTTTTTCAATGTTAAAGGGATTGTAACATTATTTTTGAAAACATTTCTGAATTTATCACATTCTTCTTTGTTATAAGTGTATGAATTGGTAACAATGAAATCAATTTTGTTTTTAATCTATATACACTTATTATTAATTGTTTTTTTGTAAATAAACAAAACTACAAATTTGTTAGTTAATTCATGTGCAAATATAACTTTAACACCCTCCATTTCTTCAAGTGTTTCAATAGGAGTGTAAAATTCAATTTTATTTAATGGTGGTTTAATTATAAATTCATCTTCTTGTGCGACTTCGATAAACACTGTTGACCAAGTGTCGATTTCTAAATGAGAATAATACGACTCCACCGCAATATCAACATTTTTTGTGTATTTTTTAATTAAACACTTATTTACATCAACAAAATGCCAATCATTAACAAATATACTTGCATCTGTTTCAATTTTGATATTCACTATTTTGGCAGATGAGTCTAGGTAAAGAAAAACATCGTGTCGTTTGAATAACAACTCTTGTAGACATTTTTGAAATAAATTACTTTTGATTTTTTCTATTGCTTTACTGTGTCCATGTGCTCCTTTTTCTACTTCTCTTTATGTGTTTGTCATTTGAAGTTCAATTACATATATTAATCTGTGTAAACTTATTTTTCCTTTGCAATGTTCATTAAGAAATACACGAGAGCTTTCAGCTCCATTGCTGGTTCTTATTGATAGTCCACAACAATTCCAAACAATTGGGGGGTATTTTGCAGTATTAATTATATAATTAGGAATAAAATATTTTTCAACAAAAGAGCGTGTGTGCGACAATGTTACTTTGTTTGTAATTTCCGAGCAATTGACAATATCTCGAACCAACTGTATTGTAATAAATTCTAAAGGTAAAAGTGGAAGCATCATAAACCTTCTGATTGTCCGATAAGTTGAAAAATCAAAATTAGCACTCGATCCATCAAATAACGTTAACAGGTTGTAATTCGAAAAAAATACGATGTAGAGATTGCGTGAAATGAAAAAACAACAATGTATGGATTACAAAGGAAGGTAATATGTCAATGCTTTCATGAAAGCGATTTCAAAGTCGACTCAAAATGTGATTTCTCGATGTAGTATTGAATATCCACAAACATTTGCAAGGTTTTCAAGTAGCGAAAGAAGTTTGCTATACAATATACCATCCTTTGATTTGCATAAACAATATAGAAGTGGATAATATGTGTTATAATTAAACCTTGAATAATATATAATTGTGAAAATCCAGAAGTGACACATGTAAAAGTCCCATCCCCAAGTATAGATTTTGTGTTTGATAAAATTTCGAATGCTCCTTCTCTACCCAATATATATTTCATTTGTAACTTCGCCAAGATATAGGTAATGCCCATTCTTTAATTCGTTGAGTGTCATTGGTTTTCCTTCTTTTTTCATTGTCCTAGTTTTCTCATTGCAAAGAGCAGAAGGTTTCATTTCAGATTTTGTTTTATTTATTAACATTATTGCTGATATCTCGGGATTATTCACACTGTATTTCACAAGACCATTTTTCTTTAGCATGTTTTTGTAGTCTTCAAAGCCTTCACTATTTACTCTCTCTTCCATTTTGTTGTATTTTTCGCTTAACTCGTAAACTTGTTCTGAAATTTCACTTCTGACTATTTCCATTTCTTCGGCTATCAATTTTCGTAATTTTTTCTTTGTCAGTGTAGTTTTTTCGTGCCAATGAATATCAAATACCTTATCAATAGATGTTACTATTCTACGTTCTCCAGTCATTTTAGTTGTACAATGAACTATAAAAGGACATCCCATAAATGCACATACTACATCGTTGTGCCCATTAAGTCGACACCTCATTTTTTCAACAAAAAATGTATTCCAACATATTCAAAATTCATTTGAAAATACTGTATTTTTTTAGATTTTACCACAATTTATATGAAAAAATTATTTGTTTGAAACAAATTTAAATTAAACTAAATATTTACTGAAACGCCAATTTCAAATAATTATAAGGTGAAATACATTATATGAAATAAATATGTCTAATTTTGGATTGTATGGCTTGTAAAAAATAATTCCTTGGAACTTAAATCCAACATATTCATTTTTTAAACATTTATAATAATTAATAATTATAATTTAAAAACTATTAATTTAACAAGAAACAAAATTGTTTTTATCTTATCCGTTTTTTTCTGTTTTTTGTTAAAACAAAATAAAATACACTGTAAAAAATGTTGAACAAAGGTGCTCCCGAATAAAGTGAACTTGTTTTTGTGAAGCGCCCAAAAAATGTTGGTGTTCGTTCAAACAGCTAAATTTTAATGAAACAAACAGTTCGGATTCAATAAAACATAAAAACAACCAAACTATGAAGAAAAAATCAGTTATAAGCCATCAATTCCCTTGAAAGCTTATTCGGATATTAATACGATCACCTTTATTGAATGCTGAGTAGGTCTTGTACCCATTGAGAGCCGCAATATCGATCATGTCGTACAAGACCCGAATGTTCCATCTGTAGGTCTTGCGTCTGCAGCTGTAATACCTGACCATCTGATCGGCAGTATCAACCCCACTTATCTTGTGGTTGTAATCAATGAATGGCTGGGGTTTGTGGACAACTTGTTGCTTGCCCCACTATAGACATTGGTCTCCACTGCGACAACATCATCCTTGTCGTGGCAGGTGGTAAGCAGCAACACCAACTTTTTCTTCTCGTTGTAGTAGGAGACAAGTTTGCTCTTGCCCTTCGAGAAAAAGATGGTGGTGTCGCTGCTTCTCTTCTTCACATCCTTGGCTTCAGCAGGCACTTCTTTCCTGTTCATCCTCATGGTGCCCAGAAGTAGACAACCAAAGGCAGCAAGGTAGTGCGACATCTTCAACGTGCAGAAAAGTTGTCGCACACCACAGTCGTCTTGAATCTGCGACACAGCATGAGGAGTACCATGTAATGGGTACTTTGAAACTTTGGTTTTATTCTCCCCCACATTTACCACAATAAATTTGGAGGTTTAACACCATGACAGTTTCATTGTAAGCAGACATCAAAAAGTTATTTTTAAAACATAACATAAAACATAAACAAAATAACAAAAAGTCACTTAAAACATTCAAATATAAAATTCAAACGATAATAGAAACAAGTTGTCGTTTTATGCTTCATAACTAAAACACATTATATAAAAATAGAACAAACCCAGAATTTGATCACGTGGCGGCCAGGTTTCGACTTGATGAACACCTTGGCTTACATATTGCCTTTGAATGAGCAGAGATGCTCGTCAACCCAAACAAAATTTCTGGGTGTGTATATTTATTGTTAACGAGGTTAGAGATGAACTTTTCCATAATCACTCTAATTAAAGCGAATCTGTCGCTCTCGTTTGGGGTGGGTGCTGGAGTAACTAGATAGTTTTCTTTGAAATCGATCCCCCCTCTTCACCCTGAAGCCCTTCTATAGCTGCTTTTCGGAGAGTATTCGGAATTTCTCGTCATCAAATTCCAGGCTGTTGAGATACTCTCCGTCTTCTTTTTCGTCTTCATCGCCTTCTTCACTTGCAGCACCTTTGATATAATTGGCATCTTCATCATCTTTGTTTTTGTCATCCGGGGGAGGCTGTGGCACTTCGACTGCAGAAAACAATTTATACTATATATCTAAGTAAGTAAACCATTGTGTTGTGCATTTTTACTACGTTGTGGTGTATTTCATCTTCATTTATATAATATTTCCACATTGATATAACATTAAAATGACCACGATTACCACTGTCACAAAAAACATGCTTTCAATCTCTAACTATTTATCAAAAATTTCTCAAAAGATGACTGCATCATGATAAGATGTAGAAACTATTGTTATCAAATGGGTTACAATGCCCAGGTAGGTACAATATATTTTTGTTTTTAAACCACAATGGTGCTTTTTGGCGATAGAAAACACCATTTTACACTTCTTTACCATCAATAATTATGATTTTATTTAGTATAAATTTCTCCCTGCTATCAACTGCAAAATATCATTTGTTGAATGGTGGTATTATATCCACAAAACGTTTCTCTTTACAAATAAAAAAGGAAGTAATACTTTTAAACACTTTTTGCTTGATAAGATTATGTTTGTAAATAAATAAATTTGACCTTTATCAATTGCATTTCCAATTATTTTGTTAACTCTATCTAATACAGTCATTATTGTCTAGTAGACTTATTGTCAAAAAGACTTATTATGTAGTTGACTGCTTATATTATCTAAATTTAGACTTTGTTCTTCTTGGTAATAAAATACAAAATCTGATTATTTAATAAAAACAGCTTTAATATAAAAAACACGGTAAAATCAATTTACTGGTATTATAAAATATAATCAAATAATTTTAAAAAATTGTTATTCGGATAAATAAAGAAGTTCTAACATTTTATCAGAACGTATCAAACGGGTTAATTCTTCCTTATCAGCACCAATTTTGGTTTTGAGTGCAAAAACATTCATTTCCAATATTTGCAAATTTTTCATTTCAGTTTCTAATTTTCTTCTTAACCTTTGAGCATGTTCATTTTTCTTATACTGGGCGAACGTTTCTTCGGTTTTTTCGAAATGGTTATTATCATCAAGTACTGGTGGATCATTTTCTCCACTCAAATCAGTTGTAGTATATTCATCAGATATCAAATTCTTTCCAACCACGTCTACTTCCATTTCGTTATCTTTTTTGAACAATTTAGTGTGTTTCCAACAATTTGAAATGCTGACACTACTAACTTCTGTGTCCATTTTGTTGAGCCAATTTCAATGGCTTCACCGGTTGTAATTTTTGGAAATATAAAATTGATTTTTAACAATTTTGAGTGTTCAAAATTGTTGTAAACTCTTGTCAGCAGTTCTTTGCTGTATAATTTTTTAAAGCATTCTATTATACCAGAATCACGTGGTTGTAATACAGACTTAGTATTAGGAGGAAAAAATTTCACAACATTTCCCCGTTTTTACTTTGTAGATATCTTTTTTAAATTTATCGTTAAATCCAATGTATTCGTAACCCATTGGCTCAATTTCTAAAACATTTTCCGACATCATGGCCAATTTATGAGAAGGTGCGTTATCAAGTATTAATAGTATATTATCTTTATTAAACAAACGTAGCTCATTTTCCCACTCGATGATCCACTTTTGAAACAAATATACTGTCATCCAAGAATTCTTTTGACCTGTGTACTGTATTTTATATTTTCCAAATTTGTTATCATTAAACCACTTGGGTTTTTCAGAAGGTCCTATGAATAGTAGAGGTCTTTTTTCTCTAATGCACGAGCAGCAAACCATTACACTTATTCGGTCTTTGCTTTTCTTGGTTCCACTTTTTTCACATTTAGTCAAAGTTGTTTTCGGTAAAGCTTTGTAATAAAGACCTGTCTCATCTGCATTCCAAATATTTTTTTAAACTGTGCAATGACATCTTTAAGGTGTTCAATTTCTTGTGTGTAATTTTTGAGGGGTGGGGGATATAAAGATTGGGATAAAATGTTCGGTTTAAAATAATTTCTTCAATGAAACATGCATTTAATTTACATAAAAAATCAAACATGTTTATAATTGTTATTTAAATATAACTTGTCAAAAGAAAAATATTGTCAAAATTGAACAAATCTATATATATTAATAAACATTAGTTGTTAACAAAAAGTAAATGGTGCCATTATAATTATAAACATGAAATTAAAAACACGTCAATATATAGTGAATAATATTTATTTTAGTTTTATTTAATAAATTTATTCGACTATTTTTGGTGATCAAAATTTATTCAAATAAATTAAATTTAAATCAATCAAGTTTACAGTAAATATTTGTTATTACAGTAAAAATATCACTGTTAAATAACTTCTGAAATATTTATAAAATACCACTTTTATAAAAAAAATATTAATAAAGTATTATTGATGTAATTATTAACATAATAATTGATTTTGTTATTTTTATATAAATTTAAATTATTTACAAAAAATGAAACAAAACAATTTTGTTTTGTCGGCGTCCTTATTTTTTGATTTGTGTGCGTTTTTTCTCCTTTTTTACCATCTCCAACATAACTTCTTTGAGAAGGTGGCAATTTTTTCTTTTTTGTTTGAGTAGAGATATTTATGTCGTTTATTAACTCTTGTGTATTTATTACTCTTTTCATGAAAACCTGTTCGACATCTTCTTTTCTTTTGGTAATAACATTTTGCTCTACGTGTTCATAATCAATTTTATCAACAAATTCAACAAATTGAATTTCTTTATGGTCACAATTTGATGCGTCTCTTAGTTGACCAATTTCATTTTCATTATTTTGAACTGTTTTAATATGATCAATTCTCAGAATTTCATTTCCCGTGTTTTCAATGGAATTTTCATATTATTTGTTTTATTTATATTTTTCAATTTCATTTAATAAATGTTCTTTAAACTTGTCGTATTTGCTGCTTCCGCTATAATAATTCAAAGTCAAATTAAATATACAGGTTGGTCTGTTTACAAAATGGTTTAACCCTCTGTCCATCTGTTCTATTTTTTTAAGTTCTGCTTCTTCTCTCTTCATTAAATGAATCAATAGTGTATTGAGTGTTGGTTTTTTACAATTAAGCCTTTTAACCAAAGCTGAATGGTACGACTCGCTCAAATTGTCTGTTCTCAATTGTTGGTTAAATTGTGACCACAGTTTAATCGGCCATTTAAACAACCAATTATCCCTGAAATAATTGATTAAATCATTGATTGAGTTGTTGGTATTTTTGTCAAGATTATAAGATGAAATTCTTTCGGCTATTTTTTCAAATTGTTCATTGACTTCAGATGGTTTCACGAACGCTAGAAGTTTTAAGTCGTTCACAATTGTCCAAACGTTTGAAGAAGGGAAATATAGTTTGGCCAGTGATAACCGTTGTACTGCTCTCCAGATACATTGTGTAAAGTGGAAATAACATCCATGCACATTACAGTGAAATTTGGAAATTGAATTTATAACTGTAATTTCAAAATCACGCATAATACTTGTTTTTTTCATTAAATAATTCACTGTCCCACTTTTCTTTAAAATGCAAATTGATATAATTAAAAAGTGTATCATAATCACTTTCCCGTCTCTTTGTCAGTAAAGCGTGAACAAGAGTAAAAGACTGTCCATTAGATAAAAATGCGTGGATTGTGTAAAGTTGTTGATATGTATTTGGTGCTGAATTAAATGTTCCATCCATACACAAATAAATCACTTTTCGTTTTTTAAGTTGTGTTACTTTTTCGTTTGATATAAGAATAAACACGTTATCATCTTCTTTTGTTGTGTATTTTCCACTTTCCAGTAACTCTTTCATTTTATCTTCGATCATTTCTGCTTTTATAAGATTAAAGGTTCTTCTAATTGAAGTCTATCTTCGCTTGTCATTGGGATGGTCGTTATTATATTGGTCCATCAGTTTTGTTGCAGACATTAGAATGTTGGTTCCATTACTAATAATATCACGAATTGCACCATTACCTTCATTTTTAATAGAAGGAAGATGAGAGTGTCTGGTGTGCTAAGAATCTTAGAATTTGTAATCAATGTATTTGATATAATCTCCGTTATTATGCATTTGTGTAACAATTATTTTTACATCACACTCCCGACATTTGAACACCATTAAAGAATCATTTTGTGGATAAAACACAAAATTGTCTACAACTGGTAACATTTTGTAAATTCCATTTTTCGTAGGTTTCTGACTTTTAACTTGGTGGAGTTCGGGGTGATAATCTTCCATTTGATAATTACTTTATTTGATTTCCTTTTATTGTTACAAAACAACACAATAATAATTAATTTGTGTCTTCTAATATCAATATATTAATATTGAA